GCCTCACATGTAAAGTTGTTTGTTATTCATGCTCATGTACTGGAGTCCCTATTCATGCAGATGTTGTCATGCTCTGAGACGTACCGTACAGCAAGATAGTTATTTCATATACCCCAGAAATGAACATTTCTTACAATTAATAAACAATTAACATTGAGTGTTTGCTGGATGAACAGGTTGGTAGATTGAGGTAGTTGCTATATCAACGAGTTATAATTAAGTGTTCATATTTAATTCGGGTTAATTTGCTTTAATAATATAATGTAATATCTAAGATGATATATCTCCTCCAAATTAGCTTGTATGTATCATTTATGTAATGGCTTATCTATGTAAAACTTAAGGTCAGTCTACGGTATCAGCAAGAGGATCAGTCACTTTCTGAGTTAGCCACTTTCACATCAGATTTAAGCGCTGCTGAATCAGATATATAATGACAAATATTACTAAACCAAAATGAATGACAAAGTGGAATAAAGCTGATAAGGCATCAGCAAGTTCAGTATCTCCCTCCTGCTGTGTTATGGAAGAAAAGAACTCACACATGCAGCAATCAATGATAATATCCACTGATCCCCATTTAATCTGTGGGTTGGTTGGGTCAAAACATCTTATTTTTAATAGACGCACATTTCAATCTGTATAGTGCACATGTTAACTTGAGAGAGCTGTGTATTAGGAAATATGTTATTGTTATAGTTAATTAAACATTTCATTTGATTTTATTTCTAAATTCTAATACAATAAATAATTTCTGAATTGTATTTAGAACTCTAATGTACATGAGACTTTTAACAACACTGAAGGCGTTTTTAGTGTTTCAAAATTAATAAGTCAAGAGAGATCATGCGTTTTTATACAAAGTTGTTTGTTGTTGTTGTTGTTGTTATTAATAGCTACTTTTATTAATAATCCATATAAAATATGAAGAGTTCAGATGCAAAAGCCTCTAAATGCCATTTGAAATTTTCTTCTTCAATGATGATTTTTATCAAACTTGTATATTTAAGTTCAGTAATTTCACTTAAATAACAATTAATAGGTAATTATCATTGCCATTTAAGTGAAATCACTGAACTTAAATATACAAGCTTGATAAAAATGATCATTCTAGAAGAAAATTTCAAATGGCACTTAGAGGCTTTTGCATCTGAACTCTTCATATTCTCCTGCTAAGTAATATAGTTAATTACGATCATTGCAAACTTTGTTGCCAAGCAGTGTAGCAACTTGCTGCAATTATAAATTATATAATCTTCATCCAGCCAGAATCTAGAATCAGATTCACTTATTTACTTTTAATAAAAAAATATACATTTCATAATTAAAGGTTCTCTAAGCGATGTGGGCCCAAAACATTTTTTGTCACATACATCAAACGTCTCCTCACTATCGGCTAGCTGCCTGTCCCCTAAACACACTGTAAAAAAACGCGGTCTCTGTAGACACCACAGGCTCCACAAACGGCAACAAAAACAATCTCACCCGGACCACGAAACCTAACAAACAGTGTTCCAGCCAATCACTGGCAAGAAGTATTTGAGGGTGTGTGTGAAGGAGAGCGAAGCATCAGAGGGAAGTTTGAAAAATGGCCGACACACGACCAAAGAGACGTTGTTCTGAAGAACAAATTAAAAAGAAGAATGAGTCGGATAAAGAACGTGCGAAGTTCCGAATTTACATCAGTAGCAAAGCTTTTGAACGATGGCGAGAACTCCGGCGGCAGAAGGGCTTACAGTCCGACATTCAGGTTGCTCTGTTTTTGCTGGACAGGTGGGTAACATTAAATTGTTTTTTTTTCTTCTAAATTGACGCTTATGTTCGCCAAACCCACACAAGGATATAATTAGCTAGAACTATGCACGTTCACAGTTATTTCAGGAAGCACGGAAGGGCGGGGGAGGAGATGAGATGCGGAGGAGGGAGGGTCTAGCTAGCCTCCGATTTGTTTGAAAATATTCCGAACGTCAACAACACCCAGGATCGCTTAGAGAACCTTTAAGATAGATGTTCAACAGGTCTGAAACCCACCATGAAATAAAATCCATAACTTTCTCTCTGTGCTTTTTGGACTGAGTTTGTGTATTTGAGGCAAAAACAAACATGTCCCCCCATTGTTCACTGTATAATACTTCATCTGATTCTAATAATACAAACAGATGAGACATGGATGCAGAAGATAGTCTTCCAGTGAATGGAATAGTTGCATTCAAATACTGCATACATAACAATGACCAGAGAATGAAAAATCAACAATAGTTTATCAATCTGTTTGTTTGGTGGTTTTGATAACAAACTCAATAAGCCCAGACAAACCACAAAACACAATGGAAACCAATCTGACCGAGTCATACATCTCATCTGCTGTTTAAGACCTTTAGACCCAGGCTTTAAGTAATCACTGCAAGGTGACACAATGGTCCAACCCAAACATAAGGGAATTTCATTACTATAGAGAATACTGAACAGAAAATGCCTCCCTGTTCTTTCACCAAGACAGATTACCAACCAAGACGGCTGGAATAGTGGATGCATTGAGATTAGCACTCAGCTCTGTTTTCATTTTGCTCCAAATCAAATTCAAGAGTTTCAGACTCTCTGGTGGAAAAAAACAACAACCTTTCATCCTGCTTTTTCACATTGATTTGGGGAATCTAAGTTAGACTTTGAAAAGCGAGGTTAAACCAAATTCAGTCTTATTCCCTCTCTGGGATTTTTGTTTCAAATTAGAAAGCTAAATTTTACATAAAGCCTCTCCAGATAAGTAGAAGAGGATGGAGGCTCCCTCAGTAAAGCAGACGAGAAATTGAAAAAAAGGGGAGAAAAAAATATATCAAAACCACAAACTATGCACTTAGCGTTTTGTGAACTCCATCCATAACTACTGTGCCTCATGCTGAGCTACTATCACAAACTGCCCCAATTTCTTTTGTTTTCACTCCACCGCTCCAGGCTGACAGACCTCCTGCATTTTCCACAGCCTCCCTCACACACAAGCAGCTCCAACCTCATCACACCAATTACAGGAGGAGGACCAAAAAGAGCAGAACAGATATGTATTGTAGTAAACTGCGCTTTGCTGAAGCCTGGAGGTTTAACCGCTGTGCTCCTCTCCCACAATCCCGGGAGGAAACTAGCTGGATTCACTGAAGGGCATGTACAAATGTGAGAGAGCCATTCCCGTGGGTTATGTTCATCTATACGCACCAACAGCCTGTTTATAAAAGCATTTAAGTCGGTTCAATTACATGCTCACCATAGACCATAAAAGGACAGAGAAAGGCATATTCACAGTCAATGGAAAAGGAACAGTGTTGAGCTTGTTTGATAAGGGTAAAAAGGGCCAACTTTAAGATTTTTCCTCAACCGGATTTTCTGCATCAAGTCGGCACTGCGAGGTGAATAAGGGGATCTTTCGAAAACATATGGGAACCGTAGAGCTCAAAACCAGGAGCATATGTTTCTAAAGCCTTATGCACACAGAGAGCTTCAACAGTGCTGCAGAAACAAGGCAGTGCTGTATCTTGCCAAGGGTCAATGTTTTTACAATTCATTAAAAAGACTGAAACAAATGTTTCAAATGTTAAGAGATGGATACTTTTATTCAGGAAGGATAATGTTGTATATAACAAAAGATTTCAAACAAATTCTATTCTTTTGTTCATTGGCTCAGTGGCCGAATATGTTGAATATTTCCCTACTCTATAGTATTCAAAAAACAGTACGCCAAAACTACTTCTGCCGACATTCTTAAAGGAGTAGTTCTTTTGAAAAATGTTTTTGCTGATATTTTACTCACCCCCATGTCATCCAAGATGTCCATGTCTTTCTTTCTTCAGTCGAAAAGACATTAAGGTTTTTGATGAAAACATTCCAGCATTTTTCTCCATATAATGCACTTCAGTGGGAACCAAACGGTTCAAGGTGCAAAAGACACTTTCAGTGCAAACTGCAAACTGTTCAAAGGGCTTTAAACGATTCCAGACAATGAATAAGGGTCTTATCAAGCGAAACGATCGCTCATTTAATAAATAAATAACAAAGTTTAAGATTTTATAAGCTCAAATGTTCACCTTGCTCTGTTCTGTGACACATGTTTGTGACTCTCCTGTTCGAACTCGTTCAAAATGAACGAATCTTTGTCCGAGTCATTTGGTTCATTCAACGAACGAAACGAACGAATTGACTCAGAAAAACATTTCTTCATTTTGATGAACGAGTATGAATAGGAGAGTCACGAACACCATTTAGACTCAGAGAGAGATAAACAGCTGTCATTTAAATTTTAAATACGCCTTCATTCAAGATTTTTTTTTTGTCAGTGTCACAGCACGAAAATAAAAGGATGACAACCACACACCGAAGAATGAAAGGGAAATTGATGGCCTGTGCTCTCCATGCAGTCTTCAGTCTTACTAAACACAGGCGCTACAATTTAGGTTCACTGGGCACAAGGCGTCTCATAAAAAAAACCCAGAACAGAATGCTCTGCCTGTCCTTGCACTCTCATGAATAAATGGGACAAACTCTCTCCTGAATTCCTATTCTAAGCTTGCCGGGAATGTTACCACAGCGCTCCTTTTAGCAGCTAATAGCTAGAATAATCATGCTGCCCTTTTCTCCTTTGAGGACTCTTTGTGTTCCTTAACTCATTTCTCCTGAAACATTTCCACAACCACCGTGCCGACTTGAGGGATCTGCCACCCCTTGTTTCAACCGTGGCTTTGTGGTGTCAAAGCAAATCAAAACTCGTGTAAAGCTGGATTCTGCACGGGTGTTTGAGACTGTGGGATGCTGGATAAATCATTGAATAATGATGACACTCCTGACTGCGGGAGTTGTAGCACAATCATTGTCAAAAAGAAGAGTAAATATTTAACTATGGGAACAGTACAGCTAAGAAACATTCAGGGAAATGATTTCCTAAAATATGTCGGAGGATTTAAATCATCAAAAGCCTTGTCGAAGATCAAATCTCGCTTCATGCATTTTCAACTCACCCCATTAGAGGATCCAGAGCGATTGATTTAGGGTTCAACAGGTCCAGGTCTATGACTGTAACACAGGTATCTCCATACTGGTTGCAAACAAATATCCTGTCGCTTGCTTGATCCACAAAGTAAAGGTTTCCTGTGAGCCAGTCGAAGGCTAAATGATCAACGTCTGGAAAAAAAAAAGAGAAAGAAACAGTGTCAATTGTGTGTCAATTTAAACAAAGCAAGCTAATATATAAATGTAACTTATCATTAATGGCATTTCCTTAACTAGTCATTGAGAACTTGTGGAATGAATTGCTAATTATTCATATTCATGAAAAACTTTATTCATGAAAGCAAATTGTCTACATATAGAATACTTTCTACTTTCCCATGGTTTCACTATTCTATTGTTCAATGTTGCTAGTGCCAGTTCACATACAATACGAAACAGATTCTGGTCTGCATATTTTTATATGATACCAAATATATTATATAAAATATTAAAATTGCTAAGAATTTATTACAATTGAACTCATTAACTAGCATAATAAACACACCAGAAGTAAAAAGTAAAACAAACTTTGCATTATGTTTTGTTTTTGCCTGTCATAGACCATTTGGATGTTTGCAAACTGTGATGATGTGTTTTATGCACTGTAAATATATATATATATATATATATATATATATATATATATGTTGGTTTAACTTAAAAAATTAAGTAACCTGGTTGTCTTAAAATTTTAAGTTGATTGAAATAGAAAAAAGTGAGAAAATACAATGAATGAATAAATTCATTTAATCACCAGAAACTCAAAATAATAAATTATTTAAGTTGATTTGACAAAAGAAAAAATGTTGTGGGTGGAGCCTATCTGGTGGCATAAAATGAAGCCACAGAATAAGAGTAAAATATATATATATATAAAAAAAATAACAATTCGATTGTATATTTCACAATCACGAGAAGAAAAATCAGACTTTCACGATATAAACTTGACATTCAGTATTTTGTCCACAGAATTGCGACGTACAGTCAGAATTTGTGAGGAAAAAAAGTAAGAATTGTGAAATAAAAAGGTTTAAATGTTATCTATGTAAAATGTTATAGGTTTAAATGCTATAGTATTTTATGCTATAATACATTATGCCCCCTATCATATGAACTGCATATGTGAATATTATGTAGATCTTTTGTTTACATTAAATTCACGCTTTAATAGTAGTGTAACTATCACAGGTTTCACCAGTCCATTGTTTTCCTCCACCTGTTACCACTGTTTTCCTGCAACCAGAATGTGTGTGCAGCTGCAGGAACCTAACCGTGACATCTGAGCCACTGTGATTTTGCCAAGTAAGACAATCTTCCTGGATCAACATATTTTGTTGATCCTGGAACAACATTCCTGTCTGAATTTTTTGTCCTAACTCTATCCCCCTATCCCCCCAAACCTAACAATACCCATAAGTTATCCCTAAAATCAGAGGGAAAAGATAGGTGAATAACACTGATGTAGAAGTCTAAACTTGACATAAACTGTAAACCTGTCCCTCAAATCTGGGTGGTTGGAAAGGTGTTCCAGGATTAACAAAGATGTTGATCCAGGAACATGTTGTTCTTTGTGAGCATCTGCTCCCTAATGGTCCATGAACATTGAACGAAACAAAAAGGGCCCCATAAAGTAAGTCATGTTAGTTGAAGTTGTTTATTCTTTGCAGGATCATAAACTTGAGGTCCATTAGAGGCTTTTAATGCACTGCACGAGATGAAATTTGCTATAACTGAAATGCTTTGCTCATTTCAGTTCATGAAGAAATTAAGTCTTAGTTTAGCAAGAGGCTATTATTTAGATAAATATCTCGAAATAAATCATTTTCTGATTGAACTTTTTGATTAATCTTAATGGATACAATGTGTAAAATGTACTTCCCAAATGTGCATAAAGCACTCCTAGTGTTAAAAAAATGATAAGCTTTGTTAGCACAACACGTTCTCATCCTACGGCGTCTTATATTGATGTTTTTGACAATGCGTATACACCCAACGCACATGGCATCCTTTAGCGTCAATATAACACGCTTTGGTTATGGGTAGGTTTAGGTCTGGGGTAGGGTTAGGGTTAGACCACTAGAGGCGCCTATATATATTGACATATTGACGCTAAAGGGTGCCATGTGTGATGGATGTAGACGTCAAAAGCATCAGTATATAACGCCTTGGGATGAGAACGGGCTCGTTGGCCATTGGGTCTCATGAGAAAATGACTGTTTTTGTACTTATATAGGACTGTTTAATATAACTTAGATATTTCTTACTTCACATTAATAATTTACACTGCAGGTCATGAATTTGAACTGAATTGAAATGAGACATTGGTAACACTTTATTTTGATGGTCCCTTTTGAACATTCTGTTAACTACAAGTAACTTTGCAACTACATGTCAACTTACTCTCAGTAGAGTATTAGTAGACTGTCCGCTTTATCTGCTAACTCTTTATTGTGACGCTTCTCAAATAGATATTCTACTGACTATGAGTAACATTGCAACTACATGACAACTGATTCTGTATCATGTCTGTATTGAACTGGAATTTAGGCAAAGGTAAAATAAATTTTGAAGTGCACAGAGCCAAATATTTTGTCATCTCTCTTGGTCTTCTCACCCATCAAAATCAAAATGAATGCATCAGTTTTGCTGCACCACAATGTAGCCAGAGTGTATAACATACAATCATACCGTGAGATTTTGAACCATACCGTGGAGATTCTGGATCGTCTTTACTTCCTGTTCTTTAGTGAAACCACTTGCTTTCCTCATCCTGGCACACCGAAGTTGTCCTGAGGACTCTGAAGATGTGACCCAGCATACAGATTCCTCTTTGTGATTGAAATCCAAGCCATGAGTCCCATTTGAGTACAGTTGTTTGAGGGTTTGCAGACGAGACCCATTAAGGGCTGTGATTATAATATTATCTGAGCCTCCAATCAGCAGCGATGCAGGGTTTTCGCCAGGCTCTGGAATAGATGGATAGAAAAATAGTGACAAGACAGCTTGCTTGAGGCCAAGGCATTTTCTTAGCATACCCAGGGCATTCCTGGGTATTTAGATATATTTAAAGACTAAAATTATTTGGTTACTAACATGAGTAAATTCTTTTATGTTCCACATTCAAAACGACATGAGGGTTAGTAAATTTTAATTTTTAGGAAAACTATCCTATATGATTGTGATTACTATGATTTTTTTTTTTTTAATTACAACTCTAAATAAGAAGCTAAAACTGCCAGTAGGTGACAGTAGATATGAGTAAGTTATTGAGTCCTTCATTCATTCGGTATGTTTAAAGCGGTGGTATAATGCCCCTTTTTACAATATGTAAAATAAGTCTCCGTTGTCCCCAGAGTGTGAATGAGAAGTTTTAGCTCAAAATACCCCACCGATAATTTTTACAGCATTTTAAATTTGTCCCTTTTTTAGGGTCAGTAAAAACAAGTTCTTTCGTGTGTCCCTTTAAATGCAAAAAAGCTGCCGCTCACCGCACAGAGGGCGGAGCTTCAAGAGCTCATGTTGAGTGTGCGTGTGTGTGTGTGTTAGCAGCTCTGATTACCTCACTCAGACACACTAAAATGACAGAAACTGTTGTGCTTTTTATGTTTAAACTGGTGTCATAAAATGATGGAGAGAATTGACAACATGAAAAGCAAGTGGACATGGTTAGTTGATGAATTTATGTTGCTGATGTGGAGTTAACTATCTCCAATTAGCATATTCTGTCATGATAATCTATAAAATCGCTTGGGTAGCAACTGTTGTAAGATGCCAACAAAGTGACATGTTATTGCATTTTTGTTACGTACTGTATTGCATGTGAAAAGATGGATGCAACAGCTTGAGCAGACTCACAAATGTGCTTTACTACAACAACTCTTCCTCCTCTCAACAGGTTCCTGGGGGCGGGTTTATGTAAATATTAAGGTTCTTGATGTCAGTGACCCGGGAGGAATGTTGTGTGGTTCCCAGCAGCCGTTTGTTGTAGTCCTTAAAAAACGATTTCTTTAAAAGCAAATATCTTCCTTTGCCTTGAACTTTGAGTGCTCAAACTACAAGATTATACACTAACTAGAGTTAGAAAAGTGAAATTATAACCAACTAACTCTTTTAAATGGCTGATTCATTAAGAATCAAAAGGAATGAAGGAAATGGCTCTCTTTATGAATGGGCCATTTAATCGTTCACTGTAAGAAAAAAAAAGTGTTCAATTTACGGTAAAATACCGGCAGCTGTGGTTGCCATAAATTTACCGTATAAAATACGGTAGCAAGAATTTACGGTAATAAGGTTTTACAGGCTTAACTTAAAATTTACGGAAATAAACCGCATTTAGTTATCTGATATACTGTTAAATTATCGACCATTTGAAGTGTTATTATCTGTTTTAAAAACTGACATCCATCCATCACAGCAGTAATGAGAGTCACATGATATATGGATACTCATCACATGTAGCTCTTTCACAAGAAACTTAACATTAATATATAGAAGCGGCACAGTGTCATTCACTCAAACATTAAACACCATCATGGTAACACACATGAAATTTTAAAAAGACAATAAACATTAATTTAACAACATTAAATGTCACATAAAACCCTAGTGTACCTAACTGATTAGAAAAAGACTAAGCAAACTATGAAGAAACAAGTTATTTCAACAAAAATACATCAAGTGTGGAGTGTCACGCAGGGAATTGTGGGAATGTCAATTTACGTTTTTTTTACTGTAAATTATACGATGAGTTGTTCATTTTCACTTTAAAAACTGTAAATTTAACAGTATTTTACAGTAAAATAACATGAAATTTACCATAAGATCTATCACAGTTATTTACCGTATATAGTAAGGAAAGGTTCCGTTAACCAATTAACAGTTTTTCACTGTAGCATTTTTACAGTCTTTTACTGTTAAAATCACGATCATTTTTTACAGTCTTGGTTCGCCTGATTGATAGCACTTGTGTGATATTGCTTAACTATAATCATATGATATAAATATGAGACAAAAACTCATACAAAGGCCTTTTGTCCTTATATCTTGAACTGTAGGGGCAGTATAAATACATTTTATAGGCTAAATCACACAGTGAGTTTTTGCCGTGCATCAGTTTATCACCAATCAATCAATATATTATTTTGCAGTGTATTCATTTTTTTTTAAGAGTCTTATTAAACATTCACCTTTCTAATGGCTAAGTCAATCCTCCGTTGGCACCTGTCAGACAGCCGGGGAAAATAAATGCATTGAAATATATATGCATGAGCTTTTGCTCTCATCTAATGGAAACCTCATAGTTATCCCAGTGCAACAACCTCTTTCTGCTAAATTAATATTAATGTGGGTGAGGAGTGAGTTCAGTTAAGTTTATGGGTAATGATATTCAGTTTATTCCTCATAGGAAAGCAGTCACATTGATTAAACGTGGGACAGATTCTGCATCCAGCAGTAAGGTGCGCAGCTGCCTGCTAGCTATTTCCCACCGAGCGTACAGTGGCGTAATCTCCATTTAATTTAAAACACGTGCAAACCTGTCGCAGTGCACTGCGCCAATACAAAGACCCATCATCTTGTTTAGTAACAAAATGCTTTGCACGAGGCATCCTTTGAGGCCTTCACACCTAACGCATATTGTAACGCACTTTATTCATTGAATTGTTTGGAATCAGCATAATTAATTTATGCAGGGGTGGATTTACAGCCACGAAATGGATAGGACTGCAAATGACACAAAGGGTCCCGGAAGATAGAACATTTTCCAAGATAGACTCAGTTAGTTATAACAACATTCAGCTGATATTTTTATAATCTTTATTATTCAAAATGTATGTAAAAATACGAATCAGAAGTTTGTACACATATATGACGCTTAAATGCACTATGATAATTTGTTTATGTTTTGTTAATGTCCGCCATTAAAAAAACACAGTACAGCAGCCAATCCAACATCAGCAAACCTAAAAAAAAAAAAAAATCAGTGTTCACAGGCAGAGAGAAATAAAACAGATGCTTTATTGATTATTCACCCTCGATCCACTCACTATAATCTATATAGATTCATATATTACTAACACTTTTAAGTGGGATTCAAACACATGCAGCACATTTTTTTCTCCTTATTTTATTATAATTCTAGCTGTGGAACATTTTGGGGTTGAATCAAACTTTTTATTAAAACAACTACAATTACCTGAGTCCAAACAAATGACCAATCTATAAAAGGATTAGAATCAATTTAGAATTGTAGTGTTTTCCCTATTAAAGAAAAAAAAAAAAAACTTATTTCAAAAGCAGCCGATTTAATGATAAACTTGATTGGATTTGTGGCTTGTATGGAGCTCAACAGGCAGGTGCCATTAGGAAAGTAATCATTGGCATGGCCTGATAAAGACAGAGAATAGCTGTCCTTCAGGCCCAGCTCTTTATAAAACTAAGCCTCCACTTAATCCTCAAAGTCTGGTTTATCTTCCACCAATAGCTCCATTATTTCTGTCCCTTGGCACAGCAACACTGATATAAGGACCGAAGCGGAATATCCAAAGCAAACTGCCTCAATTTTCAGGTTATTATGGGAATAAGAGAATGAACTACATGGTTTAGTCTGGATTCATGCATGATTCTTGAGAGCTTTTTTTTATATAAATAATCTTACTTGGAAAAGGCAAACCGGTCTTTAACAATCTAATGAAATAAATGGGTTGGTGAAAACCTGAAGGACTTTAAGCTATTTAAACAAGTGTTAGTAGAGGGGCATGTTGTCACACTGCCATTAAACAGACTGTTAATTTGCAGTAAACTGATTCTACATAAATTCATGAAATGGCAAAAACTTTTAAATATAATTATTTTGGTCAACAAACATAAAGTTATAGATTGTGTAATATATCTTGAAATTGTTGTTTGGATAAATTTAGGGGAATTTTTATATTTTGTTTAAGGATTAACTGAAAATGATTTTCGAACCCCCCGTAAAGAGATTGCTGTAAATTTTACAGTAACTTATTGCAGCTGGATGCCAGTAATTTACTGTGAAATGTTTTACAGTTTTATTACTGTCTTTTTCACTTACAGTATATTGTACCTTTGCTGTATTTTCAATTACAGTATACTGTACCATTCACAGTATTAGTATTGATTTTTTTTTTACATGTTTACCCCACCCCCAAATTGACAACAACTCATGAACATGCGTCCTTAAAATATTATTTTTAATCGTTGAACATTTTGTTTTTAGAAGTACAAATTACAAATCTTGACCTCAATAGCTGAAAAGAAAAAAAAGGCAAAAATTACCTAAGTCCATAGAACTAATCTCCTGGGGACCATTTGTATCTGTAGCATGGCAAAAACTACCACACACTGAAAACCAAAACAGGCCATAATAAAAACCAAAATAAAATACCGTAAAAGTCAGTTTGTGTTGTTACAATTTCAGTAATTTTGCCTGCAGGTTATCAAATTAACATACACAACCTCTTGTATAATCTGATTGTTGACTCAAAATCTTATAGGTTATATATATATATATATATATATATATAATTATAATAACCCTTGTGACAATTCCCCAGTGTGACAACTCTCCTATTTGCATGGAGAATGAGATCACTGAGCAGAACGGCTTTAAGTTGTTTCAGAATGATACATGAAATATCTAATCATCATTGCATATTTCTGAAGCACACATTAGATCATGTTTTTCAAGGTCACAAAATGACCAGCTCCAACAATGGCTTGAAGCAGAGCTATGCTGCTGTAAGTTAATTTCATTCATATCACACAGAGTAATAATCCACCTTGTTTCAACTCGGTGCACTCTTGTGAAAGAACAATATCAGGACGTGACAACATTTCAGCCGGCTTATGCAGATCCCTGGTCATTAATTCATCATGCTCTTACCGTGTTTGGCTATGCAGGAGCGTCTGTTCGACTGGAGGCTGTACCCATCTGTACAGCTGCAGCGATATGACCCATAGGTGTTCATGCAGGTCTGGCTGCATGTCCCGTACATGGCACATTCATCATGATCTGTACACAGAGGAAGAGTCATTTATGACAAATTAGGTGTGCTCAAACATGACCCAAATACATAAAATCCACTTAATGTGGCCTCTCGGTGGCTTTTCCTTATGCCACCTAGTATCTCCGGGCAAGTCCTGCTCTGCACCAGTCTCCAGAGCTTTGCCTGTTAAAGCTGTAGTGGAGTGTAATGTTTCAACGGTGATTAACTGATTTGTCTTGGTTGAACGTCCGGAGGAACCTTTTACGAACAGGGTACAAATGTGTTAAAATGAAGTTTATTTTTATCTTCCTTCAACAAACGGTGAGTCAAAGTCATAGTTTAAAGGGCTTCTATAATGCTATTTTAAAGTTTTCGTAATGTTGTTATGGAGTCTCCTAAACATTAAAAACGGTTTAATTTCCTCATAATATACATTTGCACATCATCACATTTTCGATGATTATCATCGTCTCATCGTCAGATGAATCAATCCCACTAAATCCCTCCTTTCCGCGAACTACTCTACTCTGATTGGCCAGACAGCTCAATCTGTTGTGATTGGCCTACCGTGTACAGTGTGTACCGTGTCATTGCCTTAACAACGTCAGCTCTGTTTGTTCTGAGGCTTTCTACACTATAAACTGAACACAATAACAAACAATGATGTCGATTTGACCATATCAATGCGAGCACAAGTCCGATGAGGAAACACTGGAACCCAAACCTCCATCGCAAGGACGACTTCACAGTGATACATTACTCAGTCTGAGGTACATTATAAGATTTTGCAACTGTAATTCCTCACCATAAGCATTAACAAGTGGATGTCCATCAACAAACCGATTATTTTTGATTCGAGTAACTTTTTTGACATTTGTGTAAGTGTTTCATTTCTACAATATATGGTGTAAAAACGTCTTAGTGCTGCCCTCTTCAGGTTAAACGGTGGCTTGTGCAGTTGAATTTTCCTATTGGATGTTCCGCACTTCGTGACGTACGCAGGTTTCAGCTCACCACGTGAGATACGCCCTTGGCAGTATAAAAAACAGCTTGTTTCGTCAAAACCACTGTAGCGAGTCAGGAGTTGGAATTGCGAGTATTGAAAACGATCAGGATAGAGTGTTTTAGCATCTATTTCGTTCTCTCTATCTCCGCTGGGATCTGACCACTTTTTCAGCATTTTTCAAATATTGCCAGTGGGTGGAGGCAGGCTCGGACCAGGGGTTTAGTTACCCTTTAAAGAGCAAGTTTGTGAATCCAGCATTTTACTCCGAGATTTGAGAAGCAGTCGTCAGTAAAATAAATGACCACAGCAAAAGTTTAGGAATACTGCTGTGTTGTTGTGGTAAAGATTAATTTTAACACTGATGGTTCACATGCTTGTCCTTGGGGAGTGAAAAAAAAAAACAAGAAAAAAAAAAACAGATTTGTTTTCATGATAATCGAATGTAAAGGGTTTTTTCTCTAAAACTGTTTAGCGTATAACGCTACCCAGACAGCAAACTGACATTGAATCAACGTGGAAACGACATCTCTCATGACATCGAAACAACGTTGATTTTGCTCATCAAATTAACGTTGAGCCAACGTCAGACGCGGCATTCTTCAAAGCTAAATGAAAATCGAAAATTGGTTTGCTTTCATAACGTTGAAACAACGTTGATTTCAAGTTGATTTTCCGTTAGTTTTGAAAGAATGACGCGTCTGACGTTGGTTCAACGTTAATTCGATGAGCAAAACAATGTCAGATCAACATTGTTTCGATGTCATGTTTCCACGTTGATTCAATGTCAGTTTGCTATCTGGGTAGTAAAGGGGGCATTTAATAAGTAAAATTAAATCCCTAGTTAATACCACTAACAAGGCTCAAAATAGCCCCAAACTAACACAGTAACACAATGGGGGTCTTTAAATGCAAAACAAAGCATTAAGAACTGTGTAAGTGTACAGACCGTTTAATAAAAAGATACTTTATAAAGACAGCACACTTCGTGTATACAGACAGGAGCCATCTTGGAAAACAGTCTTGACAAGTCGAACCACGAAAGCTCTCTTTCCTTATTATATGCCCCCATATACTAGCGTATACGCTAAACAGTTTCTAGAGATAAAACTCTTTACATTCGATTATCATGAAAACAAATCTCAGAGAACGGTCGACTAGGTACCAATGTTTTATTAGACCAAAGGTTCATTTTGTGGCGGACTTTTCCTTTAAAGGAGTGATTGATTGGTCAATGTGAACAAAAAAATACTTTGTCTACACAATTATTTAGTTTTCCTATTTAATGACCGTCAATTTAGTTGGAATAATAATTCTGGCATAAGGCTCATTAGCGTTAGGCTATAGCCTTAAAAGTCTGATTTAGCACTGCTATATAACAATAACATTTTTTTTTTCACAATGACATATGAGTTCATGATTGTAATGTTTATTTATTTTTTTGTGGCTGTTGATCTTTGAATAAATATATATGTTTGGTTCAGGTTTGACCTCAAATATGACTGTTTTCATGGAATGGAACACATTCATCACTATAAAGAAAACATCTATCCCCGTTAACAATTTCCTGTTTGAGCCAGTTTTCTCCTAGTGATACAATTAGTTATAAAGTGCCTATGGTTGATCTATTTTTCACCATCGTATACAACAACCAGCCTCTTTATCATACTCAGAGGGTCTCTTTCGGCCAGACCAGGCCGAGGAGTCACTTTGACCTCTTCGGAGTCAATACCACGTGTCACATAAAGCAGGACGGAGGTGTGAACACGCATCCTGGGGATGGATGGACGGCCACCCCTCTCCCCCCTCATTGCCCAAAGCTGATCATTCGTCTGAGATGTTTGCCATGACCGTGAGAGAGCCTACCTCTGCAGCTACGCCCATCCTCTCCAACCTCAAATCCATCCGCACAGAAGCAGAATGTGCCGTTTCTGGTCATGATGCATCCATAACGGCAATGCAACTCGTGACAGGCTGACAGGAGTTCTGTGGGAGGAGAGAGAGAGAGAGAGAGAGAGAGAGAGAGAGAGAGAGGAAGAGTTTCAGAGTGAGGGAAAAACATGTAAATTGCTTTTTGATTTCACTCCCTCTAAAAGCCCTTCCTTGCCATCAGCACAAGGATGTGCCAGCGCGTACTGACAGTTGTGAGCCAGAGGCGGGGATCAATAGCACTTCGTGCGGGTGGAATCAGAGAGGTGCTCCACACAGGGAAAGAGAGATGGAATTAGAAGAAATACCTAACCTTTCTGTTGAAAATTCTATGAGGAAAGAAAAAGGTTTTGTGTGCAGACCTGCAGAAGCTTTTAGCAATTTTTCATGGTCTTCGGTCCTCAGAATTCAATCAAACTGTCACAAAAGGGTTGTGCACAACCTGGCTATTAGGTTTTTCATTAATAGTTTCCACAGTGGACATTCACTGAACACACTGTTTGTATTTAGCTAGCTTAAAATGGAAGTGGCTGCTAGCATCCTGGTTGTTTGGCATCCTTCATTAAAAACATTCGGATTGGTACCCAGAGCCTTTTTCTTGTATTGAATTGAAAATCAAATAGGAATCTGCCATTACTATTAGCAAAACACTATTGAGAAACAGACACTGGAATTAACACATGCAGAAAAGTTCATGATCCTAATAAACTACATCTCTTGGGGATGAAAATAAATAAATCCAAATGGTCCATTTTTTTTGTACAATTGCAACGAGTACCAAAAACAAATGCAAAGCACTCTCTCTAAACAATGACACATGTGGTCTAACCCTTACAGACCTAAGCACTGGTATTGATTTTTTCCCCCTTCTTAAATGATAATGATATTTTTGCATACTGTGTTTTAGGGTCAAATTCACAAGTTTTGCAAAGAAAAAGTTATATAAGCTCACTACATTTTATAGATCCCTTCTTCACAAGAAGCTATGAGAATGAGATTTGGATATGTTCATATTGCATGACCCTTAAATATTCCTACACCTCCATGTGAAGTATCTGAAAATGCGTGTTTACAGATGCAATGCATTTGCAGACTTTATAAAGCTTTCCCTGTAAGCTTGAAGGCTGAACAGAATGGCCCCTCTTACACTCTATAAAGTTTCATTAGACAATAAAAAATAAAAGAAAATCATTAGAAGTCCTGTACTTTATACACGATTTACTGCATGGGCGATACTGTGCAAATTTAGTTGACCAATGCATATTTTTGCAAACTTTAGAAATCGTTGTTTGTGAAGTTTTATATTTTAATTGTTGCCATTTTTATCACGAAACATGGGAATTGTGAAAATAGCCCCCAAAAAAACTGTTATATGAAAATTTAATCTATTGCAATTATTACATCTTTGAGAGCATCTAGAGATGAATAAAATACATAATTATAAATAAAATCTGAGCATACTCAGCCCATTCTCACCCCCAAGGCGTCACCTAACTGACGCCTTGGGAAGCATTTGACCATGCTTCAATATCTGACGCTTTAGTCGCCCTTTAGCGTCAGTTAGATGACGCCCTAGGATCGCGTGTACCCTACCCCCACCCCATGCCTAAACCTAACCGCGTCCGTTAAACACGCTGTAGGATCGCGTCATGTAAGTGACGCTAAAGGGCGCCTAAAACGTCAAATATTGAAGCATGGTCAAAGGTGACGCCTTGGGGTGAGAATTCGTTGGCATGCTGTTTAGGCCTGTTTAAAAAAAAAATTATGTTTCCAATAAAGTTGCACATTTAACTTATGTGAATAAATAAATAAATTGAATATTACATAAAATATTTGCAAAAAAAATAAATAAATAAATAAAGCAGCCTTTCCATCCCAAGTTCAAGAGAACAAAATCGTCACTTTGCTATTGTTGGAGAAGCCACCGTGGCTCTTTTTTCCTACATCATTAACCCTCTGGGGTCTAAGGTGTATTTGGGGTCCTTGAGATGTTCTGGCATGCCCTGACATTTGTGCTTTTTTCAGTTGCTTATAAACATATCAATGGCCCATGTGAAATATATTTAGCACAATAAGGGCTACCATAATATGTGAGCAACATGTTGTGAATAGTTGTTTTTATATAAATTACTTCATTTAAAAAGAGGAGGCATTTCAGAATGAAAAAAAAACAACAACAATTGAGATGCTATGCAATTAATTTAATTATCCTATCACTTTCAAAGTCGCTCGAATCACGTGTCACGAGGCAAAGTCACGTGAGTTTTTTTGTTGTGCACCAAGGCATTTAAAGTCCCTGTAAAGTCAATTCTACAAAAAAAGTTCTAAACACATTATAAATGTTACATATGTATTGCTAAAACATTACAAAGTCTGTGAACTGTGAAGTACTGAAATGTGGAGTTAGACCGTTAAACAGTTTTTCACCATTGCAATTTTACGGATTAATTGGGCGGGGCTAAAACACTGGAGCCCATGAGCTGCTGGACACCCCCTATTTAATGACGCACAGAGTCTGATCTCCCCCTCTCCACACACACTCCCCGAGCACATTCGCATTCACCGCTCAATCGCGAGTGACTGTCAGTACTATTAGTTACTACAACTGAGCCTACAGTTTTCTAGCAAGCTATGCCTTCGACACGGACATGCATGGGCTACTACCTGGATGCGATCATGTACAAAACAGATCGGTATCTTCATTTAAATTCCCTTAAAAACGATCACATCAAGAAGAGGTTTTTAGAGAGCCTAACGTTACCTTGATGAAGAGCTGAGGATCACCCCCAACACCCGCTTCTGTAGTGATCATTTTACACTGGATCGTTTTATAAACTTTCCTCAGAGACAACTTGGATTCACTGATAATTCACTGATAATCCGCTGTTACTGGTGAACGGGGCCGAAACGACGATCTCCCGCCTCAGCTTTCATACTCCCGTCTCCAAAAGCTAATCAGCTAATATCACCGTCAACAGCTTTCCCGTGAGTGGGCGTAGCCAGCGGACACGCCCCCAGCGTTTGAGAGCAGAGAATCGACTCATTTTTTCATGATTTTGATAGCTTATTTTATGTACTTCCTGACTTTTTTTATCATTCAAATTTGGCTGGGTGGCTAATTACAAATTTGTCTGTGGTGTGACAAACTCAGAACACATACTTAATTTTGACTTTAAAGGGACTTTAATCAGTAAATGTGTTTTCAATCGTAGAGTACAGTATGTGCATTTCTTACTGGATGAAATACTTTTTATGAACACTTGTTTTCATATTGTTTCTATCCAGTGTTTTTTAATGCAACATCCAAAAATTGGCATAAAAGTAGGTGGATGGAAAAACAGATCACAAAACATGATTTTTACACTATGGAATGAAAATAGAGAGACAAAATCACTTAAATGTACTTCTTTTTTTTCTGATCTGAGCTCTGATATTAGACACAATGCATATTGTAAGACAAACAGCAAAAACATAGTATTTTGTGTGTTGAAGATCTGACAAATGTTATGTTCATTTTCTACTAAGACGACCCCAATATTCACTTTCGAGTTGGTTTTGTCTGCCTTCCTTGCTGTGCCGCCTGTCATTCTCTCTGTAAGGTCTCAGTGGAATACTAGTGCAACAACCTAAAATTATTTTTATACAGTGCAAGCAACAAAGGCCACATCAGCACATCTCTGAATCCCTCTGTCTGGCTGTCACATATTAAATCATGTGGCAATCCCTGAGAAAGGCAACGTACCCAACCAGCTATTGTTCTCCACACTTTTCAGACAATTGTGGGTGTGGATTCAACTGCACAATTACAAATACAAAGACAACCGATTTACCAGCCTCACAAAAAAAATGTGTCTAAGTGTGAAAAATGATGAGCTCAAAAAGCTGATTTTCTTCAGCTATTTCAAGACATGTGACTACTAAACATTCATTACGGTCAAATGAATGTATGCACATCTGTTCTTTGATTTCTTACATCTCATGTCTGATTACTGCCATTATCTGAGCACTAATTTATAGAATTAAGACATGTATCTGAAATATATTCTATAAAACATTTAAATTAAATAAAATACAAAAAATGAAATTAAAATATAAAATATTGATACTAATAATAAAATGAACATCAATTGACACTCCTGACTCTTATAAAATAAAATAAAAAATGTTTCTTAAATAATATAATATAATATAATATAATATAATATAATATAATATAATATAATATAATATAATATAATATAATATAATATAATAGTTCATTCTTTGACATTCCTGGATCTTGATTTTATTTAAAAAAAATAAAATAAATAAAGCATGTTTTTTTTTCTTAGAAAAAATATATATTAATAATAATATTATTATTATTATTATTATTATTATTATTATTATAATTATAAAATTAACATCAACTGACACCCCTGACTCTTGATTTAAAAAAAAACAAAAAAAAAACATTATTAACATTATTAATCTTAACGGATTGAGCTACTGAGCATTACAAAATATTATGCATGATAAAAATAAGTAAAATAATATAACATAAAATATCTAAAGTGCTTTTCAATCAGGCGGTCAGTGAACAAACTGCAGATGGTCTGTGAGATGACATCTGAGGCTGAGACCATCGCTGGCATGCTCAAGCAGGTTTTTTATGGATTCGTTGTTTCATGACATGTATTAGCAGCAACTCCCATGACACACTTAGACGAAGGTGCTTTTGTGATAGCAAATGCAAAATACATGTTGAATAAAGAGCATCAACCAATTAGGGTGTATCTTAAGAGTAAGAAGAAAAATACCAGTTTCATAAAGAAAGCTGTAATATTCCATCAACCAAAAGCGAAGATGTTTTCTCAGCATCAAGGAAAGTGATCAGTAATTGCACTAAATCTTGTCAGAAACTAACTGAATGTTTACCTGTGGCTAAATACTGCTTTAAAGTGCAGTATTTATTTTCAATGGTTAATCAAAGGCATTCATTGCAAATGTTAGCATTACGCTTTTTTAAATAGCAAGCATACAATGTCCCTACTACTTTACATATCACTGAAATATGT